GAATTTCATGACATTTTGTGCTTTTTGGTCTTTGTCATTTTGATTGTGCGTGTGTTTGTTTTCCTTAAGAAAGACAAAAAAGTTGCCGGGCGGTGGTGGTGGCGCACGCCTTTAATCCCAGCACTCGGGAGGCAGAGCCAGGCGGATCTCTGTGAGTTCGAGGCTAACCTGGGCTACCAAGTGAGTTCCAGGAAAGGCGCAAAGCTACACAGAGAAACCCTGTCTCGAAAAACAAAAAAACAAAAAAACCAAAAAAAAAAAAGAAAGAAAGACAAAAAAGCATGAAGCTGGTGTGGAGAGAGACTCTGGGGGAGTTGGAGGAGGGGAAAGAATATGATCAAAATATATTGTATGAAATTCTCAAATTAAGAAACAATTTTTAAGACTGAAAAATATTCATATCAAGTCACATAACATTCTCTACTAACACTATGCTTTTTTCTTTTTATGGTATTATAATTACATTTGTCCCTTCCTTCCTCCCTCCAAATCCCCCATATACAGTTCCCTGACTTTAAGTTCATGGCCGCTTTTTCCACTAGATGTTATTTCACACACATATGTATGTACATGTGTATACATATACAGACCACATGTAACATGTTCAGGCCATATGTTACTTGTATGTATGTCTCATGGGCTGCCTGTTTGGCACTGGATGACCAATTGCTGTGCTCCTCCCTGGGAAGACCACCTCTCCCACTCCCACTCCTCAGTTGCCTGTAGTTCTTTGTGTAGGGTTGAGGCCTCATGGGCCTCTTCCCATCCACTTTGACATGTCCGATTGTGGTATCCTTCCTTATTCAGCTCACATTTGGGCTGTCATGTGGTGAGACTTTATTGGTGACATTGGGACATTACTAGGAAACACAACCTCACAGCAAATTCTCTGATCCTCTTTTCTCTTAAATACATCTCATTAATATAAAGACCTTGCTTCTCCAGCTTTGTTTTTTTTTTGTTTGTTTGTTTGTTTGTTTGTTTTTTGAGATAAGACTTTGCTAAAAAAATCCAGGCTACCTTCAAACTTGGGATTCTCTTGCCTCAGCCTCCCAGTGATAGGAGTGAACCAGTATACTTCTGCTTCTCAATTTATTATGTTACCATAACATCTGAAAAGTAATTAAACTGAAGTCATTAAAGTCAAGCTCATAACAATGTGCATATAATCATTAGATATAAAATTTCTGGAGCATTTATCTACTCACAAAATTAGAGACTGGGATTAAAAATAAATAAAAATACTTTCTGCTTGTGATTATAATGAGAGCACAATCTGTCTTCAATATATACATAATCCTTCTTGACTAATAGGGAAAGTGTGTTCATAGCTTCTCCAAAACTTTCATTACTTAACAAACTCAACTTTGCATCTTAGAAGGAGATGAACAGAGAACTCATTCTGAGGCCACTGGGGGCACAGACACTCTACCTTCAACTGGAAAACGCTTCTTTTAAAAAAAAGAATGTAAAGAAGAAAGGAGAAATTAAGGAGTAAAATGCTTTTATGCCCGGCCACCTATATAAAATATCATGCCTTTAAAAAATAAATAAAACTCTGATGACATTGTTTGCATTTCTAAAAATTGGTATGACTTCGTCATAGTTAATCATAGTCAACATAATTAACTATTATCAGAACACAGTCCAAGAATGGAGTCGCACGAGGAGAATTCTGAGTGCTTGTGAGAAAACTCCAAGAAAAGTAGACAAGACAAACTTGTGACCTCAGTTTCTTCAAAGCACAGAATTGTTCTTGGAATGTGGTTTCATGTCCCTTGGGTGTAGCCAATAGGAGTGAGTTTACTTCAGATTATTCATTACAACTGGCTATTGCTATTTGTTTATATGTCTCTATGGAAAAACATGTTTTGCCACATGTGTCTTGTCCTTGTGATTAGACTCACGTGACTCCTCTTAACCCTCAAAGTACAAATTGTCTGACGCTTTGAATAAAGTTGGCTATTGCATGAGACTTTGGTCCACCTCATTTATTGGCTCCATTCCCCCAAGTCCCATAGAGCAGAGACAAACTATGAAGCTTGAGTTACTTCACACAGTGCAGGGACGTGACACAGCATAAATCCTGTCACTCCTCTGCAGGCTTCTTTGCTTGCCTTTCCTGCTCTCTTCTAGGCCACATGCTGAGTCACTAAATCCTCAAGTGTTCAGGCATGCTCAGTGAACGGCACATGTAGCATTATCAGATAAACCAGGGACAAAATGGAGATAAACACCCTGACAGTAAGCAACTTTAATGTTTGAAAGTATCTTTCATTAGCTAAAATACTTACTTTTACAAATAACTATAAAATTATCCTCCAGGGTAACTGGAAAAAATAATGTCATCAAGATGTATAAAGCAGCACTACTAATAGCCAAAAAAAAAACTACAAATTAAGACAAAATAGTTTAGACTAAATAAGGAAATAAAATGAAACCTACTAAGATATCAAAGTACTATACAGCAAAGCAAATAAATGATGTACAGCTACTTCAAATCATACTGATATATCTCACAAATATCTTGTGGAAAACGTATAGCCTAAATAAGAACAGACAGAAATAATGATGCAAGGTAGAACATAGTGGATTGTGGAGGTCAGGACACAAGTTACCCTCACCTCAAGGATGGAGGCACTGTTCCTGGAAAGGAGCATGGGGGCTGGGAACAGTCAGCTTCTTGGCCTCAATGCTCATTTCCAGATACAGTCACTATAGAACAAGTCAATGTGCTGCACATCTTCAATTTTTGCATCTCTCACTAAATGCCTTCTTTGCATAAATATAGCAAGTAGCACTTTCATACTTTCTTTTCAGAGAAGATCTTGCTATGATCTCTGCTATGTCATACTACTACAGTGCTGAAATTATAGGTATGCACCATGAGACAAATACAACATATTAGTTTTCATTTATTCCTTCATATAAGAATTTATATGGTTCAAAATTCAGATGGTTCAAAAGTACACAACAAGTGCAGTCATTTTAGATTATTCAGAATGAAAACTATGTTGTACCTGTGCAGCAACTGCTTGGAGCATCTCACAACTACTTATCAACTGCTTTGACCATGACCAGTCAAGCACCAGTGAGTGAGTCTAGAAAGAAAGATCTTTTGCCAATAGTATCATCAGTCTTCAGAGAAAAATAGAAATAATAAAGGAAATGTGAAATTAACATTATTTTCTTGAGAGAGGGCCTCTATTATGCAGCTCTGGCTTCCTGGAACTTGCCATGTAGACCAGGCTAACTCCCAGAGACCTGTCTGCCTCTGCCCTTTGACTGCTTCAAGACGTGTGCCACCACACCCAGACAAAAATTACACTATTTTGAAAGTCTTCCATTTACTCTGGTATTAGCCTTCAAAACAGTATGATCAATACTTTGAAGGACCACACCTCTTCTGAATTAGTAACAGGCTGCTCTGTTCTTTTAAGTTTTCATCTCTGATCTAGATTCTGCTGTGTTACATATTACGTAAACAAGCAAAACCATTACTGTCTAATCTTGAATAGATACAAATAGTAAGGAACTCTTGGACCTGGAATCAAAAGATCTAGTCTTCCGGAAGAGAAATGAAAGGAGGAGGTTAAAGAGAGGGGAAAAAAGAGAAGAGGAGAGAAAATGAGGGGGCAGGGAGGGAGAGCAGAGGTGGGAGAAAGAAGAGAGGAAGAGGGGAGGAGGAGAGAGGAAGAAAGGAAGAGAGGGGGAAGAGAGAGGAGAGACCGGAAAGGGAGGGGTTGTTTAACAATCAGCCCTTTGATAAAAGCTTAATATTGATCCTTGGATTCCTATTTGATAGCTAGAAAGACAATCCACTTTTCCTGCACTACCGAACACCACTTTCAGGAGACGTGAGACAGGAGAATCTTTGAAATCCCCCAAGCATATAATCTTTAGAAAAAACACAGTCAACGGCTCTTGAATAAAACAAATGAAAAAAATAAGGCAAACAGCCTCTATCCAAATGAAAGAGGACTAGTTTCCTGAAATCACTGGAGACAGCAATGTCCTTTCTGAATACACGTCTAGGTTTGGATTTCCATTATGATATTAACCCTAACATTCAGTCAATCCAAGCCATTACAGCATTTTTGAAGAAAAATACTGAAATAGGAGCTAATATTAGAGTTATTCTTACTGCAAGAGCTATTCATTTGGAAAATTTCCATCAGAAATAAATGAAAAATCAAATGTGAACTAATTATAGTAGATATTTCTATTGCTCATTATTTAGTTTTCCTCTCTTCCTGCGTACATGGTTAGACATTTTAGACTCCCCTGCAAGTAGTTAAGATCTCGTAATAAATTTCAATCAACAGGCTGTAAGCTCAAATGACTTGTCCACTTTTCTGTTATGCAATTAATAATAGGTATAACCTGTAAACAACTTCTTTAAAGTGTTTTAAAATCTATTAACAACTAAAAGAAATGGAATCTATGTTTTTCATGTTTCAAGTCATTGTTAGAATATACTACTGTATTCCCAAATTATGTTTTATAGTCTAATAAAGTAATAAAGTATTCAGTGAAAACAGGATTTGGTGGTCAAATAAGTTTAGTTAACAATGCTATGATCTAATCATACTTAGGTTCTCAGAATTATTACAATAAATAAATCTGCTTAACCATTTAAAACAACTTATCCAAAACTATTTGACCAAACAACAAATTTAGGAGCTAATTCCGCTTACTGTCTTCTACTATTTCTGTTTAGAGATACTCTAGAATATCCTATATTATTAGAGAAATATATTTTTTCTGGGAAAATGTGGCTTACATATTCATATTAAACAAGGGAGTTACCTATTCTGTTCCACTAGCCTCTAAGCTGCCCTTGTTTTCTTTTTAGATTTCCATGGAATAGCTAATGGCAGAGCTACTGACCAGTTTCCCTCTCTGAGGGCACTCATCCCAAGGGAAGGATTTAAATTCGTACTCTTCAGTGTATTATGTATCACAGATAATATCTAGTCTATGTAGACCAGCTTACTTACGTCTGGGGCTCCTTTTCATTTTGTTGTTTTTGCTGGGGCTGAAGAACGTTATTTACCAGTTCAGTGATCCCACTAAAGGGAAACCACCTGTTTAAATAAGCAAATAATGTGACTGAAAAACCAAAAGAATAACAATGTAGATTCAAAGTTTTCTACCCAAAATAATTTCTTTAAAAAAGCAAAACACACACACAGAAAGGCAGAAAAGCTACAGCCAATGGAAATGTGAGCTCCGATTATCACCAGGCAATCAGGAAGTAGGGAAATTAAGTTTGAACACTTAACTAGTCCACAAGCAGGCAGCAGAAAACTATCCAGTCACTATGTGGATGAAGTAAGAAGCTGCAGCAGCTGTCTACCAAGCCCGAGAGTCAGAAAGCGGAAGACACACCGGCTGCAGCCATCCAGTATTAGTAGAGGCTAATACCGTCGGAGGTGCAGCAAGCGGAGGGGCAGCGGCCGTCGGCTGCACTCGGAACACGTTACTTACTGTGTCGGCTGCGGTTTGTGCTCTTCTTTGATCCTAAAAAAATAAGTTTGCACAACTGAGTGCACTGTCCTAAGCAGCAATTTCTACCTATAGATTTGTGGTCAGATACAACGGTAGGCAGTCACACTACTACAGTCACACACACGGTAGGCAGTCACACTACTACAGCCACACTACTACAGTCACACACACGGTAGGCAGTCACACTACTACAGTCACACTACTACAGCCACACTACTACAGCCACACTACTACAGTCACATTACTACAGCCACACACACACACGGTAGGCAGTCACACTACTACAGTCACACTACTACAGTCACACCACTACAGTCACACACACACACGGTAGGCAGTCACACTACTACAGTCACACTACTACAGTCACACTACTACAGTCACACACACACACGGTAGGCAGTCACACTACTACAGTGACACTACTACAGTCACACACACACACAGTAGGCAGTCTCACTACTACAGTCACACACACAGTAGGCAGTCACACTTCTACAGTCACTCTACTACAATCACACTACTACAGTCACATTACTACAGTCACACACGGTAGGCAGTCACACTACTACAGTCACACACGGTAGGCAGTCACACTACTACAGTCACACTACTACAGTCACACACACACGGTAGGCAGTCACACTACTACAGTCACACTACTACAGTC